GCACGCAATGCATCTTGTGACTCAAAGTGAATCTTCACAGTAGCATGTGAAGCGTCCAGATGCGCTCGCCAACACATCACCATCAATGCAAACTCGCAATCATCGTGAGGAAAATCAAAAACCCACTGACAGTGACACACAGGAACAAGTAACGATCTTCCGCTGCAAGAATTGAAATTACAATTACACAAGCGAGCATGTGCGCATGATTGGCTCCCTACCTAGCCCGCACACTACCCCTACCATTACTAGTACACAATATGGGCTTCTTTCTTGTCTCATTTCCGCCTTTCGCATCGTGACCCATTCATCGCATTGAAGCCAGTGCAAATCCAGCTCCTAACTTCCGCTCTTTCTCAAATGAAGCCAATTCAGGCCAAGCAAGTCGCGCGCCTGTGCAATCGACCTTGGAGAGGCTCGCATGCTTGCAATTCGGTCGCGGACGGGCACATTGAAATCGAGGGTGCGCGCGCGCACGCAAATTTGACAATAAATCATCTTCCATCGCACTCGCTTTCGTTTCCTCGATCGCGAACCAATGCTCGTGTGTTGTCTGTCGTGTCATGCCAACGCCTCCGCCAGTCGCAAGGTTTAGGACGGGGAACCACGACTCTGTGCCACGCGCAAAAAAGTTAGTTTGAGCGCAAAATGCAAATGCAGCAACAGCAACGACCACCACCACCACGACTTGATGCATGTCTCTTCGGCTTCATTGCCGGCGCGACAATATTCGCAAATGCCCTCTTCCCCAACACCATGCTGTTTCCAGCCAGACTAGACAAAGCCCCCTTGCGCCATAGCAACCCGTGCGTGCAAGTCCACGATGGGAGAACAAAGACGCTCATTCCCTCATCCCCCAGCGCAGAGTACGGCAAAATGCAGAGAAAGGGAAGCAAGCGAACGCACGAACCTGGACAGTAAAACAGTCTCGGCAATTCCTCACACAATAGTCGCAAAAGACGCAAACAGAGGCGCCGCGCTGCGAGTCGTGAATGTTTGATCAGCGCCGTCGCCAAACAAACCACACTATTGTCTCTTCAGTCGGCTTCGACTACTTCGGCACTCTCCCATAAACGGCGACAGATCTCCTCGGCTTCGTTTCGGCTGCGCGCCTGGTCACTCTCGAAACTCTGTTGAAAGTCGTTCTCGTCGCGACTAGTCTTGCCGCGACCTGCATCATGGTCGAAACTGACTCGTGATCTCCGCGAGCCCGTCCCATCTGTTTCGACGCCGCTTTCGTTGAAACTTGTGCTCAGGCTGCTGGCTCCTGTCGTGAAGCCGTTTGCGCCGTGCGACTTGGGTACGCGGATTTTGCGTGACATGCCAGGGGTTTGGTAGATTCTTGCGAGCGCGTCTGCAATTGGGTTGCGGTATCTTCGCACGACATTGTACTCAACCGCGACGTGGTTGAACTGCTGCTGCAGGCGTGGATCTAGACGCCCCTCCCCATTGCCATTGTAGTGGATGCTGGACTGAAGGTATGTGGGACCGCCCGTGCGGGGTAGCGTTACGGGAACGAGCTTCTGCGGTTCAATGTTGGACGACGCACGTTGAAGCATGAGCTTCTGCTGTGTCCGCGATGGGGGTAGGTTGGTTGGCGTGGTCGTGCCAGAGCGCTGAGGCGTCTTGGAGGGTGTGTCCGCGCCGCCCTTGAAGTTTGGCATGGACTTGTTGCGCTTGATCTTGTCCACCTCCCCTTCATCGGTGTCGTCTTTGAGCTGATGCGCAGCCATGTACTCGCCATCGTGAGGTGTCCCAGCAGAACCATCTCCGTCCATGAAGCGCGACACCAGGTTGTGCCCCGGTGTGTCGACCAAGGTAGATCCAACAGACCCAGCTGTGTGACTGAGCAGATTATGACGATCGGAGGAGGATACGACGGTCGCAGCGACTGACGATGTCTGAGGAGCAACATGGTGTGAGGCGCTGCGCTGTAGTAGTCGCGATGTGATCATATCAGCATCTGGAGGCCGAGAATGTTGATAGGAGCTCCCGCCGTTGACCTGCGTGTTTGTGCGCGTGCGGTCGGTGAGCGTCTGAGTCGCCTGGCTGGGCGCTTCTCGAACTATACCAGCCGACTGTTGCGGCTCTCCTCTATTCTTCTCCATGTTGATCTCCGCCGCTCTGTGTTGTGCCTCAAGTATGACCGAGTTGGAGCGCGTGTTGGATCGGGTAGTAGTGGGCGACTGTGACGCACTCTCTTCGGTCCACCCGCCCTCGTCTCCTTCCTCGTCGTCATTGGGCATGTCAAAGTGGACCGCGGCGTGTGGCTCCGGAGAACTTTGCCGAGATCGAGAGGGAGTCGCGAGCGCACGCTTGGAAGTAGCGTTCTCGTTCTTGGACCCCTTCAGCGCGTGTTTCGCATGCCCTTGCCGCGGCGGAAGATGGCCGCTCGAGTGGTTTTTGCGCAGGTTTGCTTGTTGGGTGTTTGCTCTCACAACGGCGCCAGAAGACGCATGGCGCTTCATTCCGGGACGCGCGTGTGGACTGCTGGGCGCCGAAATGGAATTGCCCGACTGCGAGCGGCGGTGGTGTCGCCCGGTGTTTTCTGCGCCCTGGAGCGCCTGCTGGGCCTGCTTCTCGGCTTTGCTCAGCTTGTTGAGGTTCTTGCCGAAGGACGTATTCCTCTGCACGCGCTGGCCGACGACATGATGGCGCTGGCTCTTGTGATGGGCTGAGCGCTGGGCGCCCTCGGACGGCGACTGCGAGATGTGCGACTGCGACGACGACTGTCTGGTCATGGCGGCTGGCCTCTGGGGCCGCGAATTAGAATCGTCTGCCGAGGCCATGCTTACGTTCGCCTACGCGGGCGCGCGGCGTGTCGAGGGAGGTGAGGTCGGGGAGCCGTTTGGCTGTGGGAGCTGCACGTAATGATGCAAGTCTGCGGATCGTAGGAGTCGAGTGGAGCAGCCAGCTGGGTTTCGTTGTGCTGGCAGCCGAGCGGATCAACGGGCGGCCATGGAGATTCAATTGTGTGCGTTGGAGCGTTAGACGTGGTACAGCGTGCCACGTTGGGCCCAATGATGTTGATGGAGATGGTGGAGTCCATGCCCGGCCATCAAATGAGTAGGCGGTGAAAACGCCCCAACCGCTTTAGGTTCACCGCGGCCCGTCCCCACGTCATATGACCGTGCTCTCACCTCTTCACTACCGCGCATTCCAACATCACTTCACGACACATCATGTGCTGTATCTGCATTATCTATTATAAACTAAGACCCTACGTTATATCTGATGCAGTTGTGCTAAATACCGCGCGCCTGCGGATTCCTCAGTGTACCGACTGAAAGCGTGAACCTCCCTGTTATGGCTATGAAGATGCCAGCTCTCCAAGGTAAACAGTCGTATAACCATGCACGTATATGGTATATGTATTCCGGTCATTCTTCGTCATTCATCATCTTGGTCTCGTGTCCCACTCTGTACAAATCGTTTGCTGCTGCCTTCACCTCGCGTCTGCCTTGTCGCTTCTCATGTTGCAAGTCCTTGGGCGAATCTCTTCAGCTTGCACCTCATTCCCCGTTGTAATGCCGCTCGCTGCTGACTGATCTGTCGTTGTGTAGGGTTCATGCCATCGATGCAGCCGAAAGAAGAAGTGCTGAGCAGAGACTCAGGGCGGGACCGGTAAGAAGGTGGTGGAGGTCCCGAGAAGTATGTCGGAGCGTCGGAAAGGTCGCCCATAGAGTCTTCGCGGATGAGACCGGCCGCTACTGTCGATGGCCGGGTACTGTCTGCGCTTCGTGCCGTACGCATAAATATGGCATTGAGACGGCGCTCAAAGACGCTCTCTGTATCGCCATGTCGTGCACTCGCTGGGGTGCCCATCCGGGAGGGTAGCTGAGACTGTTGGTCGATTGACAGAAGTGCACTGGCGCGCGTCGAAGGATGTCGTGTCGATGGCCTTGTGACGGGACGACGAAGCGATCCAGATCGGGACATGAGCATGGTACCAGGGGCTTCCGCAACGTCCTCGTAGGAGATGGCCAAGAGTGGCATCGATGCTGACTGTCTGTTGATCTGCTTTCGGCAGGCCTGGCGCTGAGACTTGGTTCGTAAAAGTGAAGGCATCTGAACCTGCATTTTTTTGGCGCAGCGAAGGAACGACTTTCCGTGTTGACTGGTGGCTGTCGATGGTCTGACGACTTCGGGTGCTCCAATCACGGGAATAGCATGCTGAGCCACGGCTGAGTCTTTGGCACCTACATTTGTCGCTGCTCTCCAATACGAAAGGCCTCCCATGAGCGGGGGTGAAGGCGTATTCATGCTAGCATCGAGCCATGCATTGACGTCCCGTATCACGCCAGAATCAGGCCTCGCTGGACGAAGAGGAGGTAGAACCGGCGGCCGAGGCGACACCCGCTCTACAACGATCGGGAGCGGGGGTACTGCTGGTGCATCCTGCAGGCTCGGTGTCGCTCCTGTTGAAGGTGCCGTACGCGGCCGCCTGATTGATGGTTTCCGCCGTATCTCAACTGGTCCCTCATCGTTCTTCAACGTCTGTCGCGATGCCACTTTGCGAAGATGCCGTTGCAGCCACTTCTTCGCCGTTCCATGCTTGCTAATGGTTGTAGTAGTCGTCTGTTCTGTAGTGGTAGCCGTCATGCTGTGTGAATTCGAAGGAACTGTTTGCGAGAATGTCGTACGCTGAGTGATGCACGGCGGTAACAGTAATGTAGAAGAGGTGAAGGCGGGAATGCGGAAGTGACTTCATGTGGGTTGGAATGGTTGTCGTCGTTGATGGCAGGCGCAGATGAGCTGCCATCGTAAGTTTCGGACGTCATGGGCTGAAAGAGGAAAATGCTGTCATGGAGTTGTTGAAGGGGCAGTCACCCCCAAGGTTGAGGAAGGCACGTTTTGGTGACCTTCACTTATCGGCACAGTACCTTCCTTATCAGCATTGCAAGAGCTCAGACATTCGCGAGACTTGATTATCTTGTATACATAGGTGTGATGAGATTGCTTCATCCAGCTTCACTGGAAACAACCTATAAAATACCGAGCTACCCACGCTGGATGTCCTGCATCGCATCACCCAGGTTTGGACCGGACCATGGCGCGTCCAGCAGGCCTCTGTTATGCTCATTAATTTCCTGCCGTATCTTCTCTTTCTCCTCTTCAGTCTTATTCGAATCGTAGAGATTGCCATCGTCACCCTCCGATGAAGTTGACATTGAACCCGCGCTTACCTTGCGAAACGTCCTCTCTGTAGGGTTGGTCGAACATGCTTCCCTTCGCGCGGGTCTGGCAGATGGAGCGGCAGATGGGGTGACAGATGTTGGCGGCTGGTTCACCGGCGGTGGACGTGCGGTCGCTGCTCGTGATGAGGGAAGTGGAGGGAAAGAAGAGAGAAAGTCTCTTTCTTCTTCGGGTGAGCGTGAACGACGGTATATCGGGGTAGGATGTTCTATGCTTTCCCGGCGAGGATGCTTCTGTATAGGACGGAGAAGGTGGTATGCTCGTCTTGCAGCGTGTCTGTAAAGACCTCGTTCAATTTCTCTTTGCCGACTCTTCGCCAGTCTGTCAGCTTTCGGCTCCGTGGGTATTGATTGCTGGCTCTCCTTGACCCAATCGTGCTTGGTATGTGCGTCTTGTTCGGGAACGAGCTTGGTGTCTGCTTGCCGACTCCTTGCCAGTCTGTCAGCTTTGGGTTCCGTAGGTATCAGGTGCTGATTCTCTTTGATCCGGTCGTTTCCGGGTTGTGTATCTTGTTGTGGGACGGCTGATGCCTCCTCCGTCTTCTGCCGGTCGGCTTTGGGCCCCTTGGGTACACGGTTCTCTTTGAACCAGTCCTTCTCGATCTGTGCATCTTGTTCTGGAACGGACGAGAAATTTTGTCTCCTAGTACCACCTCCCATGCCTCTGGTCGGAAGGCCATAGCCAAATCCTCTACCCCTTCCACCTTGGAAATTATTGAACGCTCCGCCATTCAATGTGTTATTGAAGTTTCCTCTACCTATTTCACGGTAACCGAAGTCAGTGGAACTTCTTGCTCCCCGGCCATTACTGTTTCCTCGGCTTCCACCTCGTCCGCGCGGTAATCCAGACATGCCGTCAAATTGCTCGAATGCTGTATTCCTTCAAGTTGAGTTTGATCAGCAGGAGGGTGTGTGGCTTCTGATATAACCATGAATGGCAACTTCCACTCAACAGTTTGTATCACCAGCCCATCATTCCGGTGCCTTCGTCACAGGTCCATGGCTCACATCACATGCAACACCCAGCCCCTTCTCCACGCACCCAGCAAATACCTGCCCGACCTCACCTATCTATTTAGCTACCTTCCCACCACCGAAACTCCCCTCCCTTATCCCCCTTCCGTCCACCATACGCCCCACCCTTCGATGCCCCCCATCGCACTTTTTCGCAAACGCATCCTCTACGCCCGATCAACCCTCCGCCTCACCCTCTGCGCAGACGGAAAACGACGCTGCCGTCGAAGACGACTCCGCTACATCACTAATTCTCTCTATTTTCTCGATGCAACAACGAAGACTCCGCCGACTGCGTATCAGGTAGTTAGACTACCTGCGGTTCTGAGACGAGGGTGACAACGGTGGCGGACCATCTTCGTACTCATCATAATCTCTTCCTTCCTCCATGTTGCGACTTTGCTGTCGACGGATTAGTTCAAACTGCTTGCGTCGGCGATACCATGCGGTGCACCCAGACTCTCTCATTCCGTTCTGCAAGACATTAGCAGCACACACGCAAGACCTTCATAGTCCCAAGCCAAGAATAGACGCATTCAAAGATTTTAGTATATTCGATTCTTCCACCCACTCCACCCCCCATCCTATCCAATCCAATCCACCCCATATTTCTCTAATATCTAACAAGTGAAAAGTTTGGTATGTTGGGTATATACAACTTAAAACAGTACAAAAGACCTCCCATGTAAGTACGGTGCAACCAACGACATTTGCCCGCCAGTGCCAACGAAGGCATATTTGTGTAGACATCTACATAGGAAAAACAAAAAACGATGCTGATAACAATCTCGATAGCTGAGTACAAAAAAGAAGAAAGAGGAGAAGAGGCTTATTAGTACGTATATATATATGTGATGATGTAAGAGAGATGTTGCGGTAAGCAAAAATACCGTTCTGTTGTAGATATAAAGGAAATTGAACTTTGAACTGGGGGTATCAAGCTGTCAAGGCTGGGTATAATGGGTATAGCGAAAAGCCGAGCTGAGTAGTAGTAGTAGTTAGAAAGATAAGAAAGACAAACGAAATTTCTGCGGTGATAGGAGATGTGTGGAAAATGGAGATAAAGGAGAAATATCGCTGTAGAGTGTGGACTGTTCCGTGTATCGCGTTCCGTGTATCACGTTACGCCTTTGCCCGAAGAGTCCGACGCCGGTTTGGTGACAATTTTCGCTGTTCTATGAACAGCATCAAAAAGTTTCGAGAGTTCAATCAACCCATCGAGACGCTGGGGTCGTTGGAGCCGACAAAGCCCGTTGACATGCCCATGTCCATGCGCAGGAATTGGTCTTGGTGGCTGTCGAGACCGTCCATGCCGCTTGACATGCCCATGGAGTTGCCCATGCCGCTCATGTTATTTTGGTTCATGGCGTGGGGGTCCATCATGGCTAGCGATTCTCGGCGACTGCTGTCAGCTGAGCCGACGTGCTGCACATGGGGCGAGAGCTGGTGCTGCTGGTGGGGCCGGAAGTCTTGGTTGCGTGACTGGTTCATGTGCTGACGTGCGGCTGCCCATGCTTGGGCTTGAGCCTGCGCTTGGGCAATCTGGGCCTGCGTGATGTGCTGGGTGGGTTGCATGTGTGGCTGAAACTGTTGTTGCGAAGGATGCGGCGGGGTGGGTTGGAGGGGTGCTCCGTGGTGATGTTGGGGCTGGGGGTGATGCAAGGCCTGTTGCTGGGCCTGATGCTGCATCTGATGCATCGAGTCATCCTCCTCAATGGTTTGGGGCGTCAGGTCAATGTCGTCATCGTCATCGTCGCCTTCCGCATCAACCTGATCGCAGTCTCCATCACCACATACCGTGGGCGGTGCGCTAAAGGGCATGTTGGACTCAACCTTGATTGGGCTGCCTTGCCTGGGCTGGTTCACAGTAGCGAATTGTGGTGGGATGCTAGCCATGGAGCAGCTTCTGGTACTGGTACCACCGGGCAATGGCTTTTGCGCGCCCATGCCGGAGACCGAGGCCCTGTTCTCGCGTATAGCGGTCCGCCACTTGTCGATGAGGCGGTCGTAGTCCCAGTTGCGGTAGTCCATACCGTGCTTAGCAAGCTCCCTAGCCGTGTCGGTTCCAAGATTGATGCTGATGGGCGACACATCGGGGGCGCCTGAGGTCCAGCGGTTGGCTTTCAGGTATTCAATCTCCCTACGTGCATTCCCCAGCTGCACCTCGGCTTCCCGTCGCCTGTCGTCGGCGCGGGCATAGCAGCGCAGTATCTCGACCTGCCAGCACTCCTGCCTCGTCTTATCTGACTGCTGTGTCCAGTGGTGGAAGGCGTCTGCAATGTGGCCAAAGAGGCGTTGTGGGTCGTGGTCGAAGAGCGGTGGGGTGGGCAGGGGCGAGGTGTTGGTGGAAGGAGCGGAGGAGTGCGAGCCCGAGGGATAGACCTGGTTGATCTGGCGCTGGCGCTGGTAGGCAAGCAGACGCTCGCGGACCTGCTTATTCAGCGCTTCGAACTGCTTCTGTCCCGGCGGGGTGATGGACCATGACTCGGACGTGGGAAAGGGCGTGGGGGAGAAGAGGGTAGAGGGCGCGGGGAGGATCTGGAGGCACAGCGAGGGGAAGCTCTGGGTGTAGGGGTCGAATTCGAAGAGGCCGGAGCCGGATGCTTTTGCGCTGTGTTTGTTAGCAGGATATATGGTGAGTGAATTGGTGACATACTTGGCTACTTGCACGCTCTTCAGCAGCTCCCGCAGCGCCATCTCGGTGGCACTCGCAATCTCATTCTCCTCGTTCGACTTCTGCCTCTGGTCCAGCTCGGCCTTTCGCGACTGCCGCGATACGTCCCGGCGCGGGTCTGGTGTTTTGGTGTTGAGTCGTGAGGGCCGGTGGCCGCTTCCCCAGCTGACATCCTTGAACTGCCCCCTCGTCTTGCCCACCTCGAGCGGCTCATCGTCGTCTTCCGGGCTCTGCACAAGGACCGAATCCTCGCTCGCTATGCGCTTCTTGTTCGCGGGCGTGCTCGTGCCGCTGTCGTCTCTCCGCGGTGTTGACACGCTGCCCTTGGCCTGCCGCCGCGTGATGCCGCCTCGCAGCTTCCGTATCTCGTCGACATTGTGCACGCCATCGGGCGCCTTTGGATTCTTCGGGCGGATGTACAGGTCCAGATGGCGTCCCAGGCTGGACGAGGTGAAGGCCTGGCCGCAAAAGGGACAGTTCTTGTCCTTGGCCGCCTTGAGCTGTGGTTCGGCGGTGGAGCGAGGCGTGGACGATTCGGTTTCGCCCATGATGGCTTGCAGATATTATTACTCAGGGTTCCCAAGCTCGAGCTTATCTCGATACGCAGAGTCGTTCATGCGTGCCTTGGGTAGAAGGATTATAGCTGCAGCTATGACATTACTATTACGGTCGGAAGGGGTAGTATACAAGGAAAGATGGGCATAGTGCACGCCAATGGCTAATGAGAGGAGACCAATTGGACGCTGCAGGCAAAAGGAGCGACGCGTTCGTTGGAGCAATATTATCTCGCTGCGGCTTGGCGCGAAAAGCTGCCCCTAATGCCTCTGCCGGGCACTATGATGCGCGCGCAGGAGGCGCGCAGTCAGCCGTGCGTGCAGCGGGAAGCCAGCCCGCCCGAACCAAAGGGCCCGACCTGTCTGACAGGACTCTACGGACTCTGGACGCGACGCACAAATTGCACTCGCGTCTATTTTGGCTCTACTTACTTTCCGCCCTGGCCAGCCTCGCCGCAGTCCGCGCCGCAATGTCCTCATACTCGTCCATGCCGCCGTCAAGCTTCCTGAGCTGCCCTCTAGTCAGCCGAAAAACGCTCCCCGGAGCTAACCCTGGCGCTTCATCCTCCGACTCGCTGCTGTCGTCAGCCTCGCCCTCGGACGCGTGAACCCCTGGCGCTAGCTTGTACGCCGACTCCCTCTGCACCACCGTTCTGCGGGGTGTTAGTAAGAACTCTATTTATTGATTTCACTATGCTCACCTCATGAAGAACCGGTCGTGTGTCACCACCAGCAGCGCTCCATCGTACTCGCGCAGCGCCATCACGAGACCCAAAATAGTATCAGCGTCGAGGTGCGTCGTCACCTCGTCGAGAATGAGCAGTTGCGGCGGCGGCCATAGCAACTTGGCAAGTGCGACCCTGACCTTCTGCCCTCCCGACAGGAGCACGAGCGGAACATCCGACACCGTCTGGCCATGGAGTCCCAGTCCACCCAGCACTGTCCGCGCATCCTTCTCCTGTGCGCCCTCGCCAATACTTTCCATCACGTGCCGGAGCGCCGTCGTCTGAGGGTTGGCAGCCGCGGTCGCAGTGAGCTCTTCGACCGACTGCTGCGAGAAGCGGCCAATCTTCACCCTTGCATGGCGCGCGACACTGCCAGATGTGGGCTTGAGACCGCCCTCGCTATCACCGCCCATTATTATGGAGACCAGCGTCGTCTTCCCTGAACCGTTCAGGCCTGCTAAACCTACCCGGTCCCTCGGATGTATGGTCAGACTGACGTCGGTCAAGATGGGCAATTTCTTTCGTCCAGGGTATGCAAATGACACCTTCTCTATACTTACCAGTGCCCCGGGAAACTTCAACTCGGGCGGCTGATGTGGGAAGGAGAGGTGCACTGGGGGATCGAAATCAGGTATCTCAATCTCCGCCCGTTGCGTCGTGTGATAGCCTGCGAGGTCGCGGTTCAGCTTGAAGCGACCACCTTTGGCACTGACCTGCAGCCCCATTCTATCATCAAGTTTTTTCTTCCGAGACGCAGCCTGTTTCAATTTCTTGTCGTCGCCCTTGTCCTTGGCGGCCTTGATGTTGCCTGCGATGGTCTTCTCAATGTGCTTCTTCTGCTTGTCCTGGGCATCCTTCATCTTAGTCATGTACCTGACCTTCTTCCATCTTTCGCGCTCGTACAGACTGAGGTTACCGCGGAAAGTCTCGAGAACCTGGTTGCGGAGGACAATGAGCTCTTCGGCTACCGCGTCTCCAAAGTCGCGATCATGGGTCGTTATGAGGACAGTCGTGCCTTTGAGATTGCGGATATAGTCTTGTAGCCAGATAATTGACGGCAAGTCTAGGAAGTTGGTGGGCTCGTCCAGAAGTAGTACGTCCGCATACTGTGTGAGAGCACAAGCTAGATCGCAGCGCGTCTTCCATCCTCCTGAGAGTTCCGACACGGGCCTGTCAATGCGATCCACCTTGAAGCCAAGGCCTAGCAAAACCACGCGCGCTTTTGCTTCTGCCTCAGCTGCATCCATGAGCTCGAGGGAGGCTTGCACGCCAGCAAGCAAATCCGCAGCTGCTTGTGTCTCTTCGCTGAGCTTCGTGGCATCGATCTCGGTCTCTTGCAGCCGCTTCTCAGATTCTTCGAAGCGCTCTTCAAGCTTAATCAGCTCCTTCCTGGCTGCTTTGCCCCGAGCACCACTCCTCCTCTCAGCAATCCGATGACCCTCTCTCAATTGCAAACCTAATCTTTCATGCCCAATACGCCTGTACGCCTGAACCGGTGCCATGGAATCAACAGAGTTCTCGACCGCCTCACTAAGCAATTTCGCTTCTCGCACGTAGCGCTCTCGAACCCGATCACTCCGGACAACATGCTGCAAGACAGTCTCACTCTCCAGGCTCAATGCAGTCATCTCATCTCCCAAGTCGTCCTCTCTCGTCTGACCTAGAAGGAGAATGCGCGTACTCCACGGTATCCCCGGAACCAGACCATCGGCAATGGCTTTGAGGAGTGTCGACTTTCCTGTTCCGTTCCGACCTACCATTACATAGTGGCGTGCTTCTACCAGGTGAAGCGTCGTACGTGATAGTAGTTCTCGGTTGGCGACTGTGATGGACAGGTCTTTGACGAGTATCTACATGATTCAATATGGTGTATGAGGGAGAAATGAGGACACGCCTACCTCTTTCGACGCGGGTGCATCGACAGAATCGACTGCGTACCGCGACTGCTGCGCCGTGACTGTTATGTGTCCACCGCCGTGATGCTCTTCCGCGGCTGGTGCTTCTTTCGCTTTGCGTACCATCGTGGGTGTGATTGAGGATTGGTGAGCAAAATCTTCACCGCGATGGAGTCTTCAACAATACTTGTTCTGAGCATCAGCAACCTTCCAGCTCATATATGTAAGAAGATGCAGTCAAACTGGGCTAGCGCATAGGCGCGGCAAGGAATGCTAAGATGGATGGCGCTCGGCTCAGGATGAGTCGACGCCGTGGCTTCTGATTGGCTAGATGGGTGATGACTAATTGTGGAGGGAAGGCGCAATGAGACGACCAGCGACATCATCTCAACGCTTGCTTACGGCTACCGACAATTTCTCCTATTGATCTCCAAACTCTTCCTTCAGCTCCAAAAATTCTGTTATATAACCCACCAGCTCCTTCAACTCCTCATCATTATCGTCCTCGTATGTCGCGTCTTCCGGCCACCTCCCTCCGGCTCGCAAGATGGCGCTTCTCGACTCTCCGGTCTCACGTACTCGCTCGTCCCAGTATGGTTGCTCAAGTTTCTCTTTCAAAAACGCGTAACGTTCTTTTCGGGCCTGCTTCTCGGGAGTGGCGATGGTGTTCGAATTCCGTGATCCTCGTCGCGCCTTTTTCCTCTTCTTCTTCGACGTGGCGTTGACTTGATTTGTATACGCCGCCCATAATATACGACGTTGCTCCGAAGGATGAACCTCTTCCCAACCTGGGACGCCTTCAGGGAACTCGTATCCCATGGAAAGTGCTTGGCGCTGTAGGTCCGCGATATGTTCGAGGTACTGCCGGTCTGCTTCTCGTTGCTGGATCGCTTTGAGTCGTTTTGTTCTGGCGGCTAGTCGCTTCGAGGCCAGCGGCGTCTTCTTGTCACCGCCCGCGCCACTGTTAGGAGAAGGAGGAATGTCAGTGTAACCCATACTAGCCAACCAGCCATCCAACAGCTCGATGTCTCTTTCTAACCGCGTCACCTCCGCATCCTCAAGTAGTTCGTAGCCAGGGACGTTTAATGGGAAGGGTACCTCCCTCTCCTCAGCATCTTTTCTGTACCCCGCGAGTTCCAACATCCACGCCCTCTTCACTTCGACATTTCTATCCAGACTCAACGCCTCCCTCGTCGCATTCTCGTCTTGCACGTCCGAGAAGTACGGCGCGTTATGTTCCGGTATCTGCACCCCATTCTGCCTAGCCATCTCCCGCCGTTCCTGCTCCCTCACCTCCCTCAAACTATCATTCTTCCACGCCTGCTCCCTCGCTCGCAGCAGTCGACGCCGTTCGTCCGACGTTATTGCCACGTGGGCACCAGAGGGAGTTATGGTACCGGGTGGCCCGGCGCCACCTGTACATAGATAGCTTTCATCGGGGTCTTCGTTTGATGTGTAGGTAAGGAGTGTAGCTTGCTGTCCGTCGACCGGCGAGGTGTAGATGTCGGGAAACTTGTCATACGATACTATGCCTCGAGCGTGTGATTTGGGTGCCGGATCTGGTGGGTAGGGGGTTAGACATGTGGTGCAGAATGGGGATGTTGATGGGCTGTCGAAGTGGCAGAGGGGACAGCGGGTTGTGGGTGGCGTGGGTTTGCTCGATGGTTTTGACGCCTTCGCGTTCCGTGCATCCCGCTTTCGAGACCGCAACGCCCTCAGCTCTTCATCAGAGAAAGGTGTGAAAATCGTTCCGTGTCTCCGCTCTTCTTTCGTCAATCCCTTGCGCATCGCCCCGTCTACCTTCTGAGCTGACGTTCGCGTGACAGAATCCACCCTTTCCTCCTCTTCTCGTGTAGCGCTGTGTATCACACTTTCTAAGCTCGAACACTCCTCTGGTACATCCACCATCTCAACCACCCCCCTCACCACCCCCGCCCTATGCACATCCCTCACATATCCCGGAATACCCCTACAAATCCCTCTACACACCCTAGAAACATGTTTACATACACAAACGCCCATAGCGGTGCTTGTCTTCCCCAGGTGCGTAATGTGAGCGAGGGTACATCGTGCGGTTGCGGGTATGATGCCGAAGCGGGCGGTTGGCGAGGTGGGGTGGAAGGAGTTGGGTATGTGGCGTTTTTGTCGTTTGGGTGGGGGTTGGGTGGGTTGGGTGGGTTCGGAGTGATGTGGTGGTGCGTATGGTGCGTGTGGTTGAGGGGGTTGTGAGGGGTGGTGGTGGTGGGATGGGGTGATGGAGCGGTCGCCATGGTCGTCCAAAGAGGTTCTAGGTCTCTTCCGTGGTGTTTTCTGGTGAGCAGGAGGAGGTTCGTAGCTTTTGAGAGACGCTGTTTCAACTTCCGTCGTGACGAGATTTTGTGGTTTCCTCTGGTACAACCCAACACCGTGGTCTCTGCCAAACGCAGCGTCAACTTCCGCTATCGTCACGTTTCGTGCGCGACTCGCATCAGATATCTTTGGAGGAACATGTATCCTTGAAGTTGCGATGCTTCTCATTCGAGCGTATCTCCTCGCGTAGGGGTCGCATGGAGCGCTGCAAATGGGTTTGGCTCGTCGTTGTTGAGTCATCGTACTGGCAGTGAGAGAATGTAGGATGGGCATTTCGGTACTATGGCTCACGAATGTTGGTGATGCGTGCTAGATCGGGATAAAGGTGAGTGTGTACAAAGACTTTGTACGGTATAGCGCGAGTGATAAGAGTGGCGAAATCGAACAAAGGGTGGTTTGGCAAGACAAAGGGAACAAAAGCGTGGATAACGGAAAGATAGCATAAGCCTCGTCCACGGGAGGTACTGGCGGCAGCGAAGATTTGTGTCGCAATCCTAAGGTTTGCTGGATACACACTATTGTATCTTGCAAATTAGATAGTCTCTAATGTAATGTATACTTCTAGCTATATGAGATTTCCACCTTTGTTTGGAATGCGATAGGCGAAACATTATAGTGCAACGAATTATCGGGGTAACTACGAAAGCTTGAATATGAGCAAAACCTCGCCAAATGCAACACAAGACAAACTCCCTACTCCTTACCATCCACTCAACCCTGCCTCGCCCTCAAATCCGCCTGCCTCCCCCTCATACTCTGAAAGAACCCCTGCATCAACCCCAGATCCATCCGACTAAACTCCCACCACCCCTCCTGCGCCGCATCCGTAGTCCCCACATAAACCTCCCTCGGATGCAACCGCGCACAAGGCCAAAGTCCAAATGGACGAACAGACAGCGTCGCAAGCAGCGGATACACTTCCTCTAGAAGCAGGCTCGACAAGATCTTCATCTCGCCCTTGTATCCCGGCGATACTTGATCGATAAACTCCTGGGAAAGCATGTCGAGTGTCGTGTCGACAAGGCGCACATGGCCGCCATTACTTCCCCACGACGCACCGTACGGCGGCGGGGGTCGTGTTTCCTGGGTTGGCGGATCGACGTGCGATTTGAACGCTTGTTTGTCCACAACGAGGAAATCTTGCGTCCACATACGGCCCAGCGTGGGTAGCATGGTGAAAGTCCGCTTGAAATGTTGTTTCGCAGCTGCGATGTCGCCTTCCGCGATCCCAGCCTCGCGGCCGTCGATGAACATGATTCTAGCCTTGCTCTTGATAGTATCGAAGCCGGAGATCCACGTCCCAGATCGCATGACGTCTTTGGTGAAGTTTTCTTCGAAGGTAGCCCATTCTGCGTTGGTTTGCTCATAGGTGAGGCGGTAGCATACGAAACCCCATGCATCGGGGTTTCTCTCGAGGTTGCGTGGGTTCTTTGCGTAAAAGTCCATTCGTTCACGTAGAATGGTGATCCAGTGTTCTTGCGCGATGGGCTTGGGTGGACCGCAGAGGGCGAGGCGGGTTTCATCGCGGTTCTTCTTGCCTTCTTCGTAGTGGCCGAGCAGGTTCTCGGTGTCGCGGAAACGGGGGTGGGCTGGCTTGGTGAGTTGGCCCATTATGTCCATTTGTTCTGCTAGGGAGGGTGGGTTGGCGGCTTGGTCGGCGGCGGCTTTGTCTTCGGCTTCTAAGATGGCTAGTTGGTGCTTGAAGGACTTGCTTCCCATGATTTGGGACCAGGTGTTTTTTCGTTGGGCTACAGGGAGGTCGGTGAAGACGTTGGTGGCTGTGTAGCCCTTAAAACCGGTCATTGGGACGCCGATCGTGTACTCGAGTCTGGTGAGCATCCCTCTGAGATCTTGGACACACTCGTAGTACTTCTTGCCGGCTCCTCCTATAGCTACTTCGTCGGTTCCAGCGGTTTTGAGAGCATCTTTGTACTGTTCGAAGGCACGCGCTTGAACCTCATCGACACGATCTACAACCCATTGATGCGTCCGCGTTGACATGTTTGTCATCCCGTCGTTCCAGTACTCTGCCCACATTCCAGCAAGATCCAATCTCTCTTCGACGCCATTTTGCTCGCGTCGCAAATTAGCTGCCTTCTGGAATTCGACATATCGGTCGACCATCCAGTTGAAAGCGTCGCGAGTCCGGGTGTGGACCTCCTCGTGACTGAACCATTCAAATATCTTGGTGAGGTCATTGATCAATTCGAAGAGGTTCCTGTAGTTGGCAGGATCATCCATCTTGCGTTCTACCCAGCGATCTCCGCTGATTGGCACCATACCAAGCAAGAGCTTTGCTTTGAGAGGGCGTAGACGCGCGAGGAAGCCCATGTGTGGTGATCTTCGGAGCTCTGGGATTTCTTGCCTCTGCATCAGCGGTGCAATGCGGTCCATGCAACTGTAGTTGTTTCTGTTGAAAGGTGCAGGAGCCCATTGACTGTATGGCGCGGTCAGCAGCCCGTATTCTTCTTGTGTCATGAGTGGGAAAGACGGACGGCCGCCGCCGGATCTGCGACCGCCAGTACTGTAGTCACTAAAGCCCTGTAGGTTTCGCACTGATACGAGGTCCTCCTCTTGTATTTGTTAGTGTATGGTCATGAGTTGAATGGAGGTTTAGTACCATAAACAAGATTGAGCAGCTGTTCGTGACTCCATGATGCATGGTCACCGAACCAGTCCTTCATGTGCTTCTCCGCCGCATCAAGATCCATATTGCGAAGACCTTCTTCCATTGTCTCTTTCCCTCCGGCAGTAGCGGTATGCGATGTTGAGGTGAATTGTTGATAGCGGACTATGGGAATCTGTCTTTGCATTTGTAGACTCGAAGACAGGTACGGTGTAGAACGAGCTATGCTACATCTGGGCACGCGCCAGGCTGCAATGCGCGAGGCCTGTCGGGTCAGCCTGAACGAAGCCATGAATAGAATTTTTTCAAGGCAACGAACGCTCGAGCGCGGAGCCCAGAAGACGTTCACGGGCGGCTGCCTCAGGGTGGATGTAAGGCGTGCCGCGTTATGACTGAAAAGGGAAAGGCGGATCACCGCTAGTTTCCGCGGCGCCACTAGGCAGCGATCTGGACCCAGATCACTTCCCGTCCCAAATCGCTCATTGCTTTTCCCTCGCGAGAGATGCTCTGCGGATGCACACTTCCACTCTCACCCATGCGACGCGTAATGGGTATCATATATGCGGTTTCTGGAGTGCCCAGCTCGTAATGGAAATGTATTGTCATATCCGTGTCTTCCAGTTCACCATATAGCGAAGTGGCTTGCCTTCTCCGTTGCCATCTATAAGCATACAAGATATAGGAGTAATCCGGACAGCACACTCTGACCTCAATGATTGATTGGCGCCAGAACTCCCAGCAAGCTATGCTTTTGTCTATCTCTTTCGCCCAGCACCAAGCTGTCCAGCTTCATTTGAGACTGCGGCTTTTCAAATGAGCTAGTGTTGCGTCACGAAGACCGCGATATCCCTGCCCATCTTGCTTTCAGGTCGCACAATGGCTTCCTCGCTTTCGTTTCCAAGGTCTGTGAGGCCTTCAATCCCATACTTCCTATTGCTGTTGGACTTATTCGACGATGTGCCAAAACGCTTCAACTCAAATCTGCTGCTATATGATCGATCGGATTGTGCGCGAGGCGTGCCGGAAGCCTTGTCGTGACTTCCGGCGCTGCTCCAGACTTTAGGAAGGTAGGTCTTGATGAGGACTTTGAAGGTGGATGCCGAGCTGCATATGATGGCTGCAAAAACACAGAGTCAGCCTTGAGGGATTTGATCAAAGATTTGAGAGGAGACATACCTGCGTAGATCTCGATGCTACACCAGTTCAACGAGTCGGCCATGTAGTACCAAATATCGGCTTCGTCAGAAAGGAAGAGAACGTAATAAAAGCGCACACAGCCAGCTGCAACTGCGACCAGTCCGACACCGAGAAGAGCGCACAGAGCGATCTTTTGACCGCGCGGCATCTGGAGCTTCCAGACGATGTGCATTGGTAGGATGTATATGGCGAAGTCTTGAACGATGCTGTAGGACGCAAGGGTCAATGAGTCTGCATCCAGTCGGTATTTTGGTTGCAATGCTTACTTCATGATGCCGTTGATGTTGAAGAACACTTGCTGCGTGTCCTGCTTGAGGCACTTCTCTGGATGCAGAGTTTGGCCCGCAGGATCCCAAAACAGCGATGGCGGTGTGCAAACGAATAGCAACACAAAGAACGTTACGATCGAGAGTGCAGCTACCCATGCCATTAGGAAGTATACAATCCACCTCGTGGGTCGTCGAGGGTCTAGTCGGTGGTAGAAGACGAGTATGCTGAACTTGACGAGACATATCGCTACAACGTAGAGTAGGCGTGTCGCGAGATTTACCTTCAACATAGGAGTAAGGTCTTCGTTTGAAATGTCGGGTGCTGTAAGATCGTCAGCTGGAGTTCG